GCATAGATTTTCTTGTGTGCAGAGAATGTGCGGGCAGTGCATGACTGCGCAGCTTAGAGGGAACATAAATGTCTGGGACCAGTTGACGGGCAGGGCCATAAAGTGGGGGGCCAATGGCCCCCTGGCTCCCCCTGTTCTGGCGCCACTGATTGCCACTCAACTCTTCTAAAGCAATTTGAGACCGATTATAGAATGATTAAGGACCACAAGGAGCGGTGGCTCGAATACAATGACCAGCTACGATCCCGCCCACTGTGCATAGACGATCCCGCCCACTGTGCATAGATGATCCCGCCCACTGTGCATAGATGATCCCGCCCACTGTGCATAAATGATCCCGCCCACTGTGCATATATTATCCCGCCCACAGAGCGGGGAAACGGGTTAGTCTGCACTGTAGTGGAAAATCACCTCCACCTGAGAAGAACAGAGGAGAGCAGAGTGGAGCCGCACTTACCAAAGACTTTAATATTGTTCAGATTCAGGTTCAGGTTCTGTTGGTGACCTGATTCGGGTTTTGTTCCCCTGCAGGACCAGCTGGGGGCGCTGATGAGCATCCTGAAGGAACACTTCGGTCACATGACCAAAGAGGAGCTCAGCTTCCACCAATCAGAGCTCACCTCCTTCTTCCTCACCGGGCTGGACTTCCGTGCCAAACACTGCCAGGTGGGCCGCTCGATCCGGGCCGTAAACAGACAAATGATTAATAGTTGAGACAGTCTGGTTCTGATCCGGTTGTTTCATCTCAGGGCGACCTGCAGAACACGTCTCAGGTGGAGAGTGAGGTCATCGACTGTCTCATCGTCATGGTGATGAAACTGTCGGAGGTCACCTTCAGGCCACTTTTCTTCAAGGTCAGAGGTCATGCTTGCCACAAAGCTGTTGCTGATCCATCAGACGAAAACTGAACCGGTTTGTTTTTTATTTTTTTATTTGTTTGTTTGTTTGTGCCACAGCTGTTTGACTGGAGTAAATCGGACAGTAAGGACCGCCTCCTGACGTTTTACTGCCTGTGTGACGGCATCGCTGAGCGCCTCAAAGGACTCTTCGTACTGTTCGCCGGAAACCTGGTGAAAGCGCTGGCAGACATCTTGACCCGGACCAACAGTTCCACCACAGGTCCGCTCATGGTTCTAAAAACACTTTCAGGTTTGATTGTAAAATATTCAGGTGCCAAGATGAGAAATAATCCAGTTTTAGAAAGATTACATTAATAATTGCACATTACAAGTGACTTCCTATTTGTTGTTTGGATTTCCTGTTTGTTGTTTTGACTTCCTGTTGTTTTGACTTCTCGTTAGTTGTTTTGACTTCCTGTTGTT